GGGGGGGGGGGCTTTGAGTCTGAACGATGCTGCGCTTTAGCCAATCACAATGGAGGGGGCGTGGCCAAGACGTGCAGGTGTCCCCAGGAAATGTGTACCTACAGAAACAGCAAGCTCCAGTAATGCCGTCTCGTCAACGTGAAAAAATTTTTTTTTTCCAGCGGATGTCTTAGTTACAACATGGTTGAGCTAACTGGAGTAGTTTCATGTCGTATCCGGCAACGGGAGGCTTTTAACAGATGACGTCTTGATGTTAGCTTTGCTAACTGTCCCTGTCAGCTGCAGCCACTGCTGCTTTCTAGACATCGTGATTTCCCATAACTGAATAAATACCACACATAGCAACACAAAACTGCTTTGCTAGCTCAATCATGTTGTAACTAAGATATTCACTGGAAAAAATATTTTATTCACGGACCGTTTATTGAGTTAGTACCTTATTTTTATACAGTCTATGGTTATAGACAACGTTAACGGCTAACGTTAACAGTTAACGGTTAGCCCAGCTAATCTACGATAACCATATTAATTATGTGCACACAGAAATAGTAACGCTTGTTCAGTCATTGTGTTTATAGACTTAACAAACATCAGATTAGTCTACACGGTGATATAGTGACGTGAAAAATGTGATAAATATAGCTAAACTCTGCTGGTTTTCTACCCGAAGTATTTGTAAACAACATAGTGATTCCCTGGGGGCACCGCCGGAAGTGAAGGGCGTGAGGCCCCTTCACTTCCGGTTAGTCGAAAAACTCTGGGCTGTGCCTCCAGAGGTAAAGGAAGAAATTTTTTTTTTTTACCGATGGATTTCCAGATTGCTGTGATTACAAATAAAAAGTAACTTGGTTGGCTGTGATGAGTATGAGCATAATAATTATAAGAATGACATGATGATGCATTCATTCAATAAGCAGCAGAGAGAAGACAAGGTCAAAGCCATATTCAAACTCACAGTGACACTATTGTGTGATATCACATACTTATATACACAAGCTTTTAACCATGGGCTCGTAACAGTGGTTTGCAGAGCTGTCCTGTATACAGTGTGTGCACTAACAGAACAAGAGAAAAGAAACAACATTTTATCACAGGTGCATGACTAGTGCTATACATATAATTCTGATCACTGAGAACTTGGTAAAAATGTTTCACAAATTGCATGAACTTTGTAGATTTAAAAAAATATTTTTAAAAAAGTTATGGAAAAATGTTCACAAAACTGTATTTACAATTAACAAATATATACTTAAAATTGTGTTACAAATTTTACATTATTTTTGAGCGCTCTTCTCAGGTCATTTCTTTGGTTTTTATCGGTCTTTTACTTTTCTTTCTCTTTTGCTAATTTTCAGGTATTTTTGTGACTTTTTACTAATTTCTTGCTGATTTCTGAGTCCTTTCTTCTTAATTTACTTGTTGCCTTCTTCCCATGTTTTAAAAGAAATCAAACCAACTTGCTCAGGTTTCAACGCATTAAGGTACTGCTGTCTGAGAGTGATGCTGCAGTGTGGGATGTGTCCGTTATTGTACATAAGGGACACGGCTAACATAATGATGTTGACAAGTTTTTGTTTGTTTGTTTTTTTGACTGTCTGACACGTTTGCTCGTCTGCTGTACATTGACAGAAAATCACAGTAAAACAGCAAAACATTTCTGAATTCATCTTTTGTAAGGGCTTTAATTGAAGGGATTGGGAGACAGAAAATATTTGCGCCTGATACTACTGTGACTGCACCTTAAAGAGGCAGTAAACATATATAATTTCAATAGCTGAAAAACTCTTTAGTCACCCACAAATCAGGCCTTCACACACAATCTGTCCCATCATATTCAGTACAGGGGTCATTAAGGTCAAAAGTCATTTTCAATTATAGAACAGCAGCCAGGACTTGAGCTCAAGAACAGCTACCCTAACCAACAGGTCACCATCTTGGCCAGTCATGTTGCTTTAAAGTGTGTAAAGTGGGAGGACCTATGGGCCCAAATGTTCCAGATGTTAACATCCAAACAAATCAAATGTCTCTAGGCTTCATTTATTGGGCGGCTGTGGCTCAGGAAGTGGAGTGGTCTTCTCTCAATTAGAAATTCGGTGGTTCGATCCCAGGTGTCCTTGGGCAAGATACTGAACCCCAAATTGCTTCATTGCTTTAAGTGTATGTGACTAATAATTTCCCAACAACAAAACTGTGGCTGACTTAGCAGCAAAAAAAAAACAACAACTAAAAAGCAAAAAAGTTAATGTCAAGCCCTGAGTCTATGGGCTGTACATATATTACCAGCGGGTTACCAACTTTGTTAGACGTTGATAATTGGTTAAATTTAGGTTGAGACATCAGGTGACCAAAATTTCATATCAGGACAGCACTGAATGCCAACTTAAACTTGATTTAGAATACGGACAACAGATGACATTGATATTTTGTTGGTTTTAAGTTGTGTTGTCAAGTAACCTAAATCCAACTTCTTCCAAACATCTCATTCCAATGTCATCTTGACGTGAAATAATGACATTGAGTCATAAGGTATGGAGAACAGAACCCAACCTCTACAAAACGTCATAATGTTAACGTCCACACAAAGCAAAATTCTAATGTCATGTGACATTTAAAATATTGTCACCCTGATTTTTATTCCAACCTAAATTTAACGTCCATCTGACATAAAAGTCCAATGTCTTTCTAATGTCATATTGACGTCCAGTATTGGCTGAGTTGCTTAACCAAACAAAATGCTGCAACTGCGAACCATGTCAAAACATTTTCCCACTGAGCGTGCCTTAACTTCTGCAGAGTGACTGAGTGATCACTCACAGTGTGGGATTTTACTCTACATTTAGATTCATCATGTGTGTGGAAAATATTTTCCACTGGTGGTGAACAGGATACTCACTTCATGATACACCCTGAGTAGCCTGCGCTGGGCAAGAGCTTTGTTCAAATCACATTCACAGACAGTAGTTGTAGAAAGGTTTTTGAATATCAGCCTTCCCCTCTGATATGATGCTTTCCACATGAAGACAGAACGTGCAGTTAAGTGTAATATCTGTGCACATTTCAGCAATCAAACCATGCTTTGTAAGTAATTGTGACTAGGCTCGATGAGTCATGCTTTCTGAAGCTTTGCCACCCTAACAAAAATAACCTTATAAAGGAATCACTGAAGACATAGATTATCATGCATGTGTTTGTTAGTGTGTAAAAATACGGAAAATGAAATGACAGATCTGGTATCTGTGTCTAATATCTGTATCAGTGGATGACATAATCCTGACAGTGTGTTAGTAGCCAGTGCATTTGCAGTACAAACATGGTGTGCTGCTCTCTGTCTGCCTAACAACTGCACTGCAGTGCCAGATTATGTAACTGTCCTGTCTGTTTATGTGTGTGCGTGATGTGTGTATGTGTCTGGTAAAGCCTAGAAATTGCGCAACAGAAATGATGCAACAGAATGAGCATTCTGGCAGCAATATCCTGTTACCATGCAATGAATGAGTTATTGCTGTAAACATACAATATTGCATACATTTTTTCCTGCATTATCTGTTGCAATCCAGCAAAGTAAGCTACACTGTCTAAATAAGTCTTTGTCTAAATGCTTCCAAACCCTCCGTAAAAACAGAAATTTTTAAACTAAAATGTCATAGTCATTGGAAACATCATGTGCAACAAATACTTTCATCAAGAAAAAAAAAAACATAACAAAATATGGAAAAATACATTCTCAGTTGTTATGAGACAGTCAGGGTTCAAAACCATTCAAAATTCTGTCCTTGCATACAGACAACGGTGCATAACATTACCGTACGAAACACACAGAAATATACCCATTCTTTAGTGAGATAACATGATCCACCCTGCATTACTTTCTACAGTAAAATTCCAACTTGACGGCCCCGCCCACCACAGCATTCTGGTTGGAGCCGACTGCAGGGAGTACCAAATGAACCACAAGTTAATTATGCTGCTTTACTGAAATAAGGTGCCTTTGGTAAATTGTAAAAACAAATAAGAGTGTGAAATACTGATATTCCATCGATATCACTTTATTCTACATCTCATGTTAAAATTTGGTTAATTTGGTTGTTAAGTTTTATTTTTTTTGTTGTTGTTTTTTTACTTTTTTTTTCCATGTTAATTTTTTTACTTTTACCTTTCAAACATCAGTGGTTACTTTATAATAATCTAATAACTAATTTATGGTGGAGGGAGGGTCATGCATTTTTCGTCACTCAGGGAAGCTCAAGCAAAAACATTTGGAGCTTTAGGAAGTGGTCACACCCAAGCAACCCCCGACTCTGATATGTAAAGAAGTCCTTAAATGACTCTGTTCAGTGCTTTAACAACTACTAAATCCTAAGAGCAAAGCACTAAGCAAATGTATCATTAAATGTGAAAACGTTCCGTTTTACTCGGGTTATTACGGTAGTGGTCTTCGGTCTGCTGACCACGCCCCCTCAGTTCAGCCTGTCCATCCAGGAAAAAGAAGACTGTGACACTCGGCTCACACTTCACACTATCGACACAGTCCTCCTGTTGCTGTGACTGACCGAAGACACAACTGACAGGTGACTTGAAATAGATATTCAAACATGTTTTGGCATCATTTCATATGAATATCGTAAAATATTTCTAAGCTTCTACGAGTTGTGTCCCCAGCTAGTGGCATGCACGTCGAGAGATAAACTAACGTTACTAGCCACGTTATCTAACGTTAGCGGACATAAGTTTAGCTAACTCTAATGAACTTAACTTTAACATTAATGTAGCGTTAAAGCTTTTTGTGTTGCGCCTCGTATTTTAACTTAAACTCGACACCCGAATATGGACAAATACATTCTTAGTTGTTATGAGACAGCTAGGGTTCAAAACCATTTTACAATTCGGTCCTTGCATAAAGACAAAGGTGCATAACATTACCGTACGAAACACAGAAATATACCCACTTTAGTTAGATAACATGATCCACCCTGCATTACTTTCTTCAGTAAAATTCCAACTTGACGGCCCCGCCCACCACAGTGTATTCTGCTTGGGGCCGACTGCAGGGAGTACCAAATGAACCACAAATTAAATATGCTGCTTTATCGAAACAAGGTGCCTTTGGTAAATTGTATGTGTGCCGAATTGTTAAGTGGTTACTATCAATTATATCGGAGCGTTGCGTTTTTATTGATGGGGAATAGCAGTGTGCTTGTTAGCGAGGAAACATTAAATGGACACTCTTTTGAATGAAATTTGGAGTTCAGCCACAAACGGGACGTTAGCTATGCATGTTCCTGCATCAACTTGGCGAACAATAATCTACCGTCATCTCGATGGTCATTGTACGTCTGTACCTCTGTTTGACACTGTCGGTATGAGCCCGATGTGCCAACCAAGCTGAACAGTGGTCGGAAGAGTTTTATAAATAGATAGTGTGACATTAACGGCTGGATTCCTGACCTTGTTCTCATCATAGCGAAGCACTGCGCAGACTCAGAAGGAGGGTTCAGTGACTCTGGATGCATTAACCTGCTCCAGTTTTTAGCCTCCAGAAATGAACCCAAAGCTCCGACGGCATGGTCTGTAGGTCTCTGCATGGTCGCTACTGTGCTCAAACTATTGTTCAGTTACTATCAGGGCCACTACGTGACTAGTCATTTGAGGGTGAAAGGCATAACAATCTATGTTTATGATTCAGACATTATTTTAAATTATGTCTTATCCTATAAAAGCATGTTGGTATGCTAATGTTATGTTAATCTGAAAATTCAATTGTTATCCTTGATTTAAAAAGGTTGCAAAGGCGAGATTATCAGCTGACTGAGGAAAACTGTTCAAAATCAGGTTATAGCAGCAGCTATTGTCTGATTGAACTGGAGCGCATACTTCATGGTATGTGAAGTATCAGGGCTAACTTCCTTCTGCTGTGTTACAACATTTTGCACAACACCTGTCTCACTCAACCTATTGCCTAAAAATCCTTGTGAACATCAACCTTATTATCTTCATAACGGTTAGCAATATTTAGCAAGTTTATGACCATCCTGTACCAGGGGAGAAAAATACACATATTGCTATTTATTGCTAAGACACTGGGCCTCGTGCAGCAATGTTCTCTTAGATTTATTTTTATGTTAAGTGAAAAAAATAAGAGAATTCAACTCCAGATGCACCAAGCGTTCTTAACCATCCAAATCTACTCTTACACCCCTGTGCAAAATGATGAATCTCACTTGAACATAAGTAACCTATTAGCATAGATAACGCCCCCTAAACATTATTTGAAGGCAGGTGTTGACTCTGGCACACACTCAAGAATTGGAGAGATGTCATCAAAAAAGGCTGTTAGAAGAAGAGAGACTTCTGCAGCAGTGAAATTGATGCACTGTTAAATAAACTTAAAGTAAACATGTTTTTTTGTTTGTTTTTTAAGTATCAGCACTGGTGTTACAGGAAAATCAAAAATCCAGCAATCGCAAGATTATTTGTGATGCTGTGACTGCCCTGCCAGACTCAGCAGAGGGACGCACAGTTGCTGAACTGAAAAGAGTTATTTTAGCAGCACTAAAACAGCTAAAAGCAGTGCTCTGGGCAATCTGAAAGGGCATCATTCATCAGTCTCATCGAATAGATCTTTGTCATTTCTAAAAACATGTTCTCCGCATAAGGCCTGGATGGCCAAAGCATCTAAGAGCAGTATGCTAGCCATTCAGAAGCTGAACATAGGCAGTATCATCTAAGAGTTTTTATATTTCTGATTGGGATCAATGGATCAATAGTAATTCTTTAGCCCACAAATTTAATAACCCAATCATTAACATATGATTATCTAAATTTCATTAAATTATATTTGTGTATTTTTTTCTGTTTCTCAAATTTAAAACTTGAATTTCCTCACGTTGATCATTAATTTGTGGACTGTGAAAATTAGATCTTTTCCTCTCCACTCTTAAAACTCACCGCCCGTATTTATTTGAACACAGAGTACATGGACCTACACGGACGCAGAGCTCATTGAAATTGTCCGAATCCAGCTAAAGGTAAACACAGACGTTCATTTCTCCTTTCCGTTATGTTGTCGGATAATTATACTAACAATCCGAGCCTATCCGTGTGAAAAAAATGCACTTTTAGTGGATGTATTTTGACGTTGTCTGAGTGCCCTATTATTTAATATAGCGCACAGTCACAGGCTGCAGGCAGGTCAGCCCGAGCTTCATACTGGAGAAATGTCAAATAATGAACATCCTATCGCTCATTTAGACAAAAGTAGTTTGGAAAATAGGGCCCAGGATGAAAAAAACATTAGTTCCCCTTTAAGACTCAACTAATATAAAATGAGACTGTTCAGACTGCTGAGAATGTGAGGCAAAGATACAACACTGGATTGTGACAGAGAATTAAATCTTTGAAAATAAAATTTCAAAAAAATAATAATTTTGGACCCTGGATTCCAGCACTCTTGTGTTTCTTTTTTCGATAACAACAATTCAGTCAAAATAAATCACTAAATTCAATGTTATTGAGTGGTTATTCTAAGTCATCACCAGGTGGTTGGATTTCCTGCTTCTTTTCAGTCTGCAGAGTGTCAGTGCTGGACACCAGTCATTTTGAAGTTGTACCTGCAAGAAACATTTAGAACTTTTTTCCATTGGACAGAGTACAACCTGAGGGCAGTTTGAGAGCAATACCTGTATGGCACAAATACATTGTCATTGCCAACATACTGCCAATGCTTTGCTCCACACAGCAATGTGAAATTCCACTGATTTAACAAGAAGCATTTCCGCGTGGTTGAAGGAATATTTCACCCCCCAACAAAAATAATTTGTAAGTCAGTTACTCACCATGTCTTGCATTGAATTCCTAAAGAAAATTTCTTATAACTTCTTGCATGCCTCCACAGTGAATAAAGAATCCAAAAACAGAGAAAACTCTAAAAAAACTATAATTAAAATCATAGGGGTCCACGTTTACAACAGCAAACCTCTTGTCAAAAGATCCATTTGCAAATTCTCAAACAATTTGTGCAGCATAATCTAAGTCTCATTCATCTAGTCGTATGCTCAGTACTTCCCAAACAGATGGCCCCTTCTGATAGGAATGGAACTTAAAGTGAAACCTATGCTTGCTCCCTGAAATGCTTGACACCATTGACAAAAACAGTAATTTCACCTCACTAACACCTGATCTGCTGTGTTTGTTTGTTTCTGTTGTGTTGTATGACTTTGGTGTCTTAAAGGATTAGTTGACATTCACTAAAGTCACACAATAACACAAACAAAATAACTGATCAAGGCAGTGGTAGACCAGCAGTTCCTGTGTTCAATGAGGTAAAATTATTGTTGTTGTTTTTTTTTGTTGTTTTTTTTCAATGGAGTCTGGCTTTGAAGAGAGCAAAGAAAAGTTTCACTCTCAGTTCAGTTCCCCTGGAATGTCAGTTTGGGAAGTACTGAGCATATGACTGGATAAATGAGACTTCGATTATGCTGCATGAGTTTTTTGAAAGTTTGTAAACCGATGTTTTGATATAGTTTTGCTGTAGTTAAACGCGGTCCGAGTATGACTTCAATTCATCAAGAATTTTCTCTGGGTTTTGGATTCTTTGTTCACTTAAAGCATGCATGAAAAAAGTTTTCTCCATGTATTAAATGTAACAGGGGGTGAGTACTTGATACACAAATGGTCATTTGGGGGAGTGAAGTACTCCATGAAGGGGCGTGGTACAGTTTTGGGATTATTTCATGCAGTTTAAAACAAAGGAATGGTTTAATAATTTAAATAAAGTGTTTTGTGGTAGGTAAATGGTTTTAAGTCTTAAGTAACCTGTATTTTTCTCTTTACAGGAGGCCAGGGATCAGTTAACTGTGGAGGTCTTCCTAAGATGTTGCCTCATCACCTCAAGCAGATAAGAGTCCTCATGCTCAACGACAAGGAGAATTTAGAGAGGACCCTGTTCAGACTTGAACAAGGTGATGCTTTTTTTAAACAAGCGCACTTTCAGTGTTACACTGTACTTAATGCCTGAATTTATCAGGTAGGCTGCTCAAACTTTGCAAATTATTTAGTTAAGTGTAGTTTATTTAGTTCATTTAAAGGACAGCGTCCAATGACATTGATCATTAACAAGAAATGAAAACACGGTTGCGCCAGATTTAGTGAGACGCTAATTTCCATTTGTAGTTCTACACTTAACAGGCTGACACATTACATACATTACAGAACACAAGAAAGGCATATGCCCCACACAACAAAGGACAGTAGGCACAAGTTACTAGTTCAAACAGTACGTACTGTGCAATACAGAAGTCAGTATGAGATACACAGTAACTACATTTTAAATGACCAATGCAAATTTCTTGCACTAGAAAAACAGTAACTACAAATTGCACAGTCATAAATACAATATGAGGTACGCAATAATTAGTTGTTGACCAAGTTACCAGGGCAGATTCCTTACACTAGAAAAACAGTAGGTGCACCAACAGCTGACGCTGCTCCGGTGTGAATGTTGTGAGTGCTGGCTAGTGAAATATCTTGGCCCTGACTATTTACTGGAGTTTACCAGCCTGCTGTTCATGTGGCATTTGAAGATAATTACAAGCACAGCCGTTCTCAGCTTTCAATGTCCACTAGTCCAGCACTAACATTTTTGTCATGTTTATGTCATCAACAAAAATGAAACATGGTCTTAGTTTTTATTATCAAGATCTATTTTTGTATTGTCATCGTCTCATTTTTGACATGGATAAATGGTCATTGACAAAAAAAAAAAAAAAAACATCATCATAGTTTTAGTCAACAAAATTAACACTGAAGCACAGAGTGGTTGACAGTATCGGGTTGACAATATAGAAGGCCTGACAAAGATCCAAGAAAACAGCCTCTACGATTCCTCCCTTGTCAAGACTGGCCTTCATTACCTCCAGGATCTTTAGGATTACCTGAGAGTCCCCGACTTCTATCAGTCACCCTCTGCACATATGCAAGTGCAATAGATGACTTATTTGATTAACTATCCATTCATGATAATTCAGAACTGCTTATTCTGGGTGATGTGAACATTAACATCTTAACTAACACTTTTGATAATTAAAAAAAAAAATTATGCATTTAATTCAATCTTGTGCAGCTTATTTCCACCCCTACTCGACCAGATCCAAAAAAATGCAGAAAAGGCCACACTTTTAGATATTATATTAACCAATAGACCCCAGCATTATAAATCCAGTGGTGTTTTTCCACTTGACTTATATGACCACTGCCTAACAGCATGCATCCATAACACAAAATTACAAAGATCAAAACCATGTATCACTGTCAAAATAAATTGCCAACAATTTTCTGAACAAGCATTTTTGATGGATCTGTACAATAGTGATATTGCATTTACCATGGCAATTCCTGATCCAAATTTGGTTTTAGATCATTTCATAAAACCGTTTAACTCCATTGCAGTTAAGCATGCAACTTTTAAGAAATTAAGAGTCAAAAACAGGAACAATCCTTGGTTTTCTCCTGAAATTGCTGATATTTTACATGAAAGGGATGCTGCCTGGTGCAGAGTGTTTTTTTCTAAATAAGCTGCTGACAAGCAGAATTTTCGGCATCAAATGCTTGTTTCCCTCCAACTGTTTTTGAACACAGTGCTGTGAGCACACCTTGCTGGGCAAACAAGTGTGGCACTCTGATCTTTTTCTTAAAGCATTGTACAAATCTTGATATGTTCAATACTCTTTGTTCTATTGATCAAAAATGTCTGCTGGGGTTGATCAGTTATCAGCTCCATTATTAATTGAATTATTAACTTAGATTTTTAACCTGACTTTAGAAATTGAACGCACCCCTGACATTTGGAAGTCAGCCTACATCCTACCTTTGTATAAGGGTGGTCAGTCAAATGACCTAAATAATCATAGACCAAGGTCCAAGCTATCTTGAATGATGTTGCAAGTGCATTAGATAACTGTGGATCATAACATTTTTTTAAACAACCTGAATCTATTGGATTTGATATAAAAATCATGTAATTGTTTTTTCAAATGATCTCAGTGGTAGAACACAAGCTGTTGTGGCTGATGGATATCAGTCTGGCTTTATGAGTGTCAACAAAGGCGTGCCACAGGTTTTATTCTAAGACCACTTTTATTCACAATTTTTATTAATGATTTGGGTGTTAAAGTTAGAAACAGAACAGTTAATCTGTATGTGGACAATAACTTTCATCTTGAATTTCTGTGCTCTACAGCAAACCAAATGCATACTGTTCTCTAGAAATAGACAAACAGTTCAACTGAAGTTCGATGACAAGTTGTGTTTTAAAACACATATTAATGAATTGCCCAAGTCCTTAAAAGCAAAACTGTCTTTTTTTAATCAATAAAATTAAGGCATGTATGACCCAGAGTTCTAGAGAGCAAATAGTTCAGGCAACCTTTTATCAGTTACTGACTTTGGTGATATAATTTATATGCACTCTCCTGCCTCTACTCTTATGCCTCTTGATACAGTGTATCATTCCGCCCTTATAATAGGCGATGGCTTTAGAACGCATCATTGTTTATTGTATGAGAAAGCTGGATGGCAGTTGTTGGCAGTGAGAAGAACAACAACATTGCATACCGTTTATTTACAAAGCACCTATTGGCAAACTACCCGGGTATCTCACATGTCTTTTAAACTACAGAACAATTTCACACTACACAAGATCCCAGGACTAGTTGGTTCTAGAAAATCATCATGTTAATACTGAGACCAGGAAACTTGCTCTTAGCTACTATGTGCCACACAAGTGGAATAATCTATCGAAGGTCTGCTCTCGCCCAATCAGCGTTTTCGTACAAGGCTATCAAACAGTGGAATAGGCTCCCCAACAATCTGAAAAATATGTGTGTGTTGGCTGCAGGAGAAGTAGCTAGTCGCTCTGGAGGGAGAAGTGTACCATCTGACATTTACAGCAGAACCTGATAGGGATTTTGTAGGCTGGCAGTATAACTGGACTATATATAGACAAACCTTTCATGATCCAGGCTCTGAAGACCAGAAAGTCTGACATTGTTTTGGCTTCTATCGCTTATTGACTGTTTCTGTAAAGTATTCCTCTTGTTTATTCCACAGCTGCAGAACAGTCTGCTTGTGTATGATAGAGTTTGTCCTGAAATTATGTTATTATATCATAGAAGGGCGGTATGGATAGAGGTGCAAGCAAATATCCAGGCTCATAGTAAGGGTTTTTAAGCCTCCGCGCGGCAATAGTCATGGCCGGAGGCATTACTTTTTCGGATTGTCTGTCTGTCTGTTCCATTCTTGTGAACGCGATACCTCAAGAATGCCTAGAGGGATTTTCTTCAAATTTAGCACTAACATCTACTTTGAGTCAGGGATGAACTGATTAGAATTTGGTGATCAAAGGTTAAGGCCAATGTGACCTAACATCTGTCTCATTTCGGGAAGGCAATGAAATTGACACCATAATATTCTCCAAAAATATTTTTTTGCGGCATTACTCAACATCATATCTCATGAACTGAATGTGAGACATTTGGTCAGTTACTAAATTTGTGACACTAATCTTAGGTGTCCACCTTTAAATTTTGCTGCCAGGGGGAAGGTGTGTAAAGCATCCATGATTTCACAGACATGGCTGTAAACTGTAAGTGCAACTTGATGAGTTTGTGGAGACATACAACCATGAGGCAGTAATTCTAGTTTTTCAATGAAATTGAAACATTCAGCAACATAAATCACACAGAAAGTAATGGCACAATCATAAGCATTTAAACATAGCAGTTTCATGAATTCATAAATGCCACGTGATGAAATAAAGCATTTCAATAAAACACTTGTGTCACTTCAGGTTTTGAGCTCCAGTTCCGTCTTGGTCCGAGCCTTCAGGGAAGGAGTGTTTTGGTGCACACCAACTATCCTCTTGAAGGACAGCAGTTTGAGCGAAACAACTTCCGTGTTTTGGCATGGAGCTACCCAACAGGAAGGGAGGATGACTCTGATAAATACTGCTGTGTGGACCTCAAGATTGCTGGGTCCTATCAGTACTACTTTGGATATGGGTATGACCCTCAGGATTTCCCACATTTGAGAATGTACAGTTGTACACTATCATTAAATTGCCCTTATTCGAGCTGAGGGAGTAAAAGCTAGCTCCAATAAGATGACATCAAAAGGCAAATAAGCACCAATACAACACTCTGTTTCTGCTCAGTCACTCTTTGATACTAGTTAGTACTAGGGTTGCAACAGTGCTATAACCATCTCAGAAAATACCACGGTTTCACAGTAGGGCTGGGCGGTATACCGGTTCGTACCGAAAACCGGTATTTATTTTTGTTATGATATGAATTTTTCATATACCGCAATACTGGTGAATAGCCCAAACAACGTCCAGAACGTGCGCGGCAGGAAAGTGTTTCAGCGGGGACCCATTTCACCGCTGCACACCACAGGCACGCTTGAGCGGGTGTGAGTGAGAGCATAGAAAAGTTTAGAGGCGAGAATGGCTGCCGGAGAGAGTCCTGAAAGCAAAGCAACTGTACACGATGACCCAGAAGAACTCATACCAAAAAGAGCAGTGTTTCCCCTGTATGCATCTAGCAGCGGCGTACCGCCGTTTACAGTTCTCCTCTGCCCTCTGTATTGCGCACGGTGGAGTTTTGCCCCGATGTGCACACACACACACACACACACACACACACAGACACACAGACAAAGCGCACACACACAGGTGAGCACACTAGAGCACGGCTCGGACCGCATTTTCCTGACCGAAGACGACCCGTCCCGAGTCCGAGACAATCACGGCCGGGCTCCACCGGACACGTCTGCAGCGCGAGTCCCGTAGCAGCTCGCCCCTCTGTTAATCAATTACAGCGGCTCCACCGGCAGCGGGAGCGGCGCGACAACTCTGTATTTTACGCGGCTCTTCTATTTTTGTCGCGCTACGCTCCCCTACGCGACCCTCCAGCAGATAAAAACTACATGAAATAGTGTTCTAAATGAGCACAGTGTGTTTTTAAATGAATAAACCATTATCAGAGGTGATAGTGATGATTTTATTTTCATGCATTTACCCATGTTTATCTGTGACATTGTGTAAATGTCCGTGGCGGACATTTGAAAGCGAGTAGATGACAAACAGTACAGTAAACTTGTAGATAACTCAAATATATGTAATAACTTAGGTGGAAAATGCTTTAACATTTCATGCAGCCTACATGCAGCCTCTCAGCTCGGCTTCTCTACGTGTCGCTTCAGTACGCGGTCAGTGGAGCCCAAATGAATGGAGCGGAGCGTGTGTTGCTTTCAGGCGTTGTCAGGTAAATAACAAATTCAGGCACTTGAATAGGCCATAGCACAACACAGCAGCATGTCAAGTTGGCCGAACCTGAGCAAAATACAGTGAAATCGATATGATTTTTTCTTAAAACCGTGATATGAACATTTTGTCATACCGCCCAGGCCTATTTCACAGTGTCACAGTTTATGGTGTAACACAATTATGACAGTTTTTATCAGTTACAGCAACCCTTAAAAAATGAAAAGAGAAGGTATTGTTTTAATTGAACAAACACCTTATTATAATTGAAACTTTAAACAATGTTTGATGGAAGTGTGTGTAAAAAGTCAGACAGGCAGTGGAGGGGAAAGAAGATGTGCACCCACAGATGAGATTCTCTGTTTGGGTGCTTTTTCAATACCATAGATGAGAAATTGTTCATGGTATGATAACCATCAATTTTCATACTACTGTATACTGGTTTCACTGTACACTGCTGCAGCCCTAGTCAGTTCACTTGTTAACAGGATCTGAGAAATACTTCCTCACCTCCACTTTGTGCAGTACTTTACTACATTTATATTGTCACATAGAGACACAGAGCGGTCAGCAGGAGGATACATTGTGGTCGACCCAGTCCTGCGTGTTGGAGAAGACAATCACATCCTCCCGCTAGACTGCATCACCATCCAGACCTACCTGTCCAAATGTCTTGGACACTTGGATGACTGGCCAGATCGACTGAGAGTAGCAAAGGAGTCAGGTATGTGTGTGTGTATTTTCTTTCTTTTTTTTGTGTGTGGAAATATGTTAGTGCCATGCAGGTGGGGAGAGGGGCATTTCATCAGAGGTCTGTCCTCATGCGCGACCGATGCTTGCGGCACCCTCTGTAGACACTGGCAAATTTAGCATGACAGTGCAGCCTCTAGCCTCGTCCCTGATCTATAAACCAGGTAGACGAAGGTGTATGTACAATCAAGAGTTTCTGTGAGACGTTTCTGCAGTCTGAGACAGAGTGCGTTAGGTCTACTTAGCAAGCTAGGTTTGCTATTATCAGGCTACCACGGATGGGACCAGGACCCAACCTACAGCCATCCCGATGAGGAGGATTCGCCGGCACTGTGACAGGATGCGGAAGCATGGGAGGATTAAGGATGGATATAAGGCAGCCCAGCTACCCCACATTGGCAGCTCAGATCATCTGGCTGTGCTGCTGATGCCTTCCTACAGAGCCAAAGTGAGAGGATAGCTAGCTGCATGGAAGCAGATCAGAATGTGGCCACAATAGGCTATCCCAGCCCTACAGGACCGCTTCGAATGCACACAGTGGAGTACTTCAAAGATACTGCTACATATGGGGGCTTCATAGACTGAGATGAATACACAGAGGAAGTGATGGGATTCATCACTAAATGCATGGATGCAGCCTTCAGATTGGATGATGCTGCAGCATACAGGGTGGCAAGACACAATTTGAACAGGGGCATCAGAGAGGTAATTAAAAAAAAAAACAGTATGGAAGGAATCTGGCGAGTCACATCATGGACAACAAGGACATGAGGCGTCTGTGACCACCAACAACAGTAGGGTACTTAGGATGATACGTTCATCTACTGATCAGGTTCCTCAGCTGTCTGTTGAGAGTGTTAGAAGGGCCTTTTCTAGGGTAAACCCTCGGAACGCTGCTGGATCAGACAATGTCCCAGGCCGTGTTCTGAAAGGATGTGCAGACCAACTGAAGGATGTCTTCACTGACATCTTGAACTCTTTTCTCTGCCCTCCTGCTTTAAAGGGATAGTTCAACATTTTGGCAAATTCGCCTATTGCCGTAATCCCTATACTCATATGAGTAGGTACATTACCTTTAATTGTCAGTGCGTGCTGTTCTGAGATCGGTGGGGCAGAGCTGGCCGCTGAAATGGAGGTGAGCGGTACAGGTCCCTCTCTCTCTCAAAACTAATCAAATACACCATCAAATGACTCCAAAACGCTCTAGTGGACAACACATGGCTTGCGCATTCCCCACGCTATGAAATAATAATGTATAATTAAGTAACATTACGACACATGAAGCAAATACTCAGAACTACTTTCTTGAGTAAACCACTGGGCGGAGTGACACAGTGCGCAGCTGAGACAGTGCCGTTGTTATTGCTTGTAGCCATTTGCGGTATCGTCAGCTGGACACACCAGAAGGTCTGAGGAAAGTTTACAAGTGTTTTTGTAAATCATGGTTTACACATGCATTATAAAAGGTTGCAGTAATAAGCCAAAGACATGGAGCAAAGTGAAGTTTCATGTAGTTCCAACCAGTAATACGAACAGGATGAAACAATGGCTATTTGTGCTGGACATTGACCCCAACACGCCTGTGGAAACGGTCCGGAAAATATTTGTGTGCTCCTGGCATTTTTTACCGGAGGACTACGCTGAAAGGATGGAGCGCAGAAGCTCAGGAATGGTTCAGACGCTTTTCTTGAAAGATACTGTCACACCATCTGTCAGCATCACTAAACGAGCAGACGTGGTAAGTAATCGTTGTGTATTTTGCTCAGCAATCTCTCTGCTGTAACGTTACCTCCATGTTGAGTAACATTAGCCTACAACCGAGGCATGGTAAATAAGGCTAAAATGCAAATGTTGTTGTGGTTATGTTATGGATAAGTGCTTGTCCAGAGCATATAGTGAAGTGACTGGCATTACTTCTCATTGTTGGGAATAAACAGACTGCTAGGGAACATTTTATGTTGTTGTTCCTTCAGGAGTTGTGGTAATTTATGAGTGTGGAGTTAGCATTATTTTGAGGCGTACTCTATATTTATATTGCACAGGTGTACCTAATAAAGTGGCCAGTAAGCCCCACATTTACACCACCGGTTCTGGGTTTCCCCTCAGCCCCTGGTTGCTTGGCAGCCTCAACCTCTCTTCTTGCTCTCTCTTCTTCAAAAACCTGTAACTCTTCCTCTGTATATTCTGGCTTCTTCTCAACAAACTTGTTGTTTTGATGACGGGAGTAACTGCACTAAACATACGCTGTTTGAAATCACTCCGCCCAGCAAGTACTGTATGTCTGGAATGTAGTTCCGGCTCTACGTTTGGCTTCAAAACAACTCTGTCTCGTAATATTACATTATTATTTCATAGCGTGGTGAATGTGTAAGATACAAGTTGTCCACAAGAGCGTTTTGGAGTCATTTGATGGTGTATTTGATTAGTTTTGAGGGAGAGAGGGACCTGTACCATTCACCTCCATTTCAGCGGGCAGCTCTGCCCCACCGATCTCAGAACAGCACACACTGACAATTAATGGTAATGTACCTACTAGGGCTGTCAACAAATATTCTAAATTCGAATTTAAATTCGAATTTGAAAAAATAATGGACCTTCGTATGTGAAAATTGATATTCGATTGTGGAGAAAAAAAAAACACCACCGCAGCTGTCCTCTTTGCGAGTGGGCGTTGGCATCAGACGCGCATTTCTCCAGCCTGGTCGACAAGCGGTTCTGCTCCCAGCTGTTGTCTCCGTCACCCGGCTTGACACATTCGCTCGCGGCTCGCGCAGAAAATAGACCAGACGCTGAAACGATCGCTGCAGGGAGCGAGCCGGTCACAGTCCGGTGCTTCGAGGCTATTCCCAGCGCTTCCGTGGGCGGTGTGGCCACGGGTCAGAGAGGGGGGGCGAGCGAGAGGTCCGCGGTCGTTTATAACGTAAAGTTATAGATAATTGTTTTATGTGTTTCAATGTGTAGGTATATAAATGTTTTCAAAGACGTTTATGTTGAAATAAAAATACCTACAAGTAGTTATGTTTCCTTGTATTAATACATATACAAGTATGTTTCCTTGTATTAGTTTGCCCTCTTGTGGACATAATGGGGAAAAAAAAATATTGGAATGGTTCGAACCTATGAGTTATTTTTAGAAGGAATATTCGAACGTCATTTTTGAGCAATTTTGACAGCCCTAGTACCTACTCATATGACTATAGGGATTACGGCAATAGGCGAATTTGCCAAAATGTCGAACTATCTCTTTAAGAGAGCCACCATTGTCCCTCTACCCAAAAAAGCCAACACTGACTGTCTAAATGACTATCGCCTTGTAGCCCTCACCCCAGTAGCAATTAAGTGCTTTGAGCGGCTTGTCATGGAGCACATTAAATCACGAGTCCCTGACAGCTAAGACTCTCTGCAGTTTGCTTATAGGGCAAACCGGTCTACGGAGGATGCCATATCCACCCTGCTCCACCTCACCTTGACTCGCCTGGAGGCTAAGAACACCTATGCCAGAATTCTACTCATCGACTTCAGTTCCGCATGCAATACGCTCTTGCCACAACAGTTGGTGGACAAATTGCAGCTGCTAAGCATAGACACTGGCACCTGCAATTGGATCCTGGACTTTCTCACACAGAGACGACAGACTGTCATAACTGGCAGCAAAACATCATCCACTATCACAGTAAGCACAGGTTCACCTCAGGGGTGTGTACTGACCCCAGTGCTGTTCACGCTAGGGCATTAACAGAAAAGTCGATTTGTCAATGTGTCGACGTCAGTGGCACAAGTCAACCCCCCCCCTGGGAGGAGTCGACAAGTCGTGTGTTTTTTCCCTCTCTCTCTCGCTCTCTGTGTGCTTACGCTGTTACTTTATCCTTGACTAAGTGAACATACTCAGGCATACTATAAGCGGAGCAGACTCCGCAAGGAATGTCCGCAGTCATTCGGGCTTTCATAGTCGAGCACACTTCCGCGTTGTAGTTTCCTGTAAAAATGTCCGTGAAAAATCCCCGCGAAGTGAAAAATACATGCCGAGCAGTCACTGGTGCGCGGAGCGGAGTCCGCGCGGTCGTAAAATCTGAGCTTTGCGCGCACAGGGCTTGCGGACGTCCGCTTTGAGTCCGCGCGGACCTCTGCAGAGTCCGTTCCGCGTACGTTCCGCCCGAGTATGTTCGGGCCTTGACAGACACACATCACATGTGTGGAGATACTTCACTTTCCTCCGCCGTGTCAATGTGATGACGTCATGAAATGACTTGTCGACTCGATTTCGACTTTATTGACAGATAAGTCAACTTGAAAAAAATCAAAGTCCTTAATGCCCTAGTTCACGCTGCTTACTCACACCTGTTCTACATCATCGCTGATGAGGCCAAGGACTGGACAGGAAAGATTTGAAGCAGCTGACAACCTGGTGCAAAATATTACAACCTCATTCTCAACACTGACAAAACAAAAGATGATGATTAGATGATTATTTACTTCAGGAGGACTAAACCAGACTACCACCCCCCTCTGATCATCTCTGGGTCTGTCTTGGACTGAGTAAAGTGCACCAAGTCCCTAGGATACCATCTGGCAGATGACTTGACCTCCAACAACAACACCATAGCGGTCATCAAGAAGGCTCAACAGTGCCTCCATCTTCTCCACAGACTGAAAAAGGCAGATCTCCCCAGCCCAGCCATGACTGTCTTCTACCAAAGCACTATAGAGACTATACTGACATACTCCATTAGTTTCTGGTACGGCAACTGCAGAGCAGAGGAGAGACAGAAACTGGACAGGATTGTCGGAACAGCAGAGAAGATCATGATCTGCTGTCATCTCTGTTGCACATCTACAGCCAGAGGTGCAGCGGCTGAGGAGACAGCATAGTTATGGACTCCTCTCATCCCTCCCACAGTTTCTTCTCTCTTCTGCCATCAGGGAGACGGTTCAGGAGCATCTGCTGCAGGACAACATTTCTGAGGAAGTTTTTTATCCTTCAGCAATCAGACTGTTGAACTGTAGAACACATGAACTCACCTAGTCTTTTGACTGCACTCTTTTCCCTGCACTTAATTGGCCTTTTTAGTAGATTCTATTTTAGATGTATTTATTAATCTATTTATTGATATATTATTATTACTGCACCGAGAACTTTTAAATTTGCCTATTTTAGATATGAAACAGTATTTTATTTTTATTTTTCATCATAAAAATGACAAAGGAATTTGATCTGATCTGAGAGGCGGGAGGTGAAGTGAAGCTTTCTGTAGGTGAGGTGGGTTGGGGGGGGCAGTGGATTGGATCTTTATTATCGTTATTAGTAGTATCAGAGAGAATATTAATGTATAATAGTATTAATAGTGTGTATGCGGTTTCTCTCACAGGATACAACATGATCCACTTGACCCCTCTGCAGACTCTGGGAGAGTCCAGATCCTGTTACTCCTTGGCTGACCAGATGAGCTTGAACCCTGACTTCAGCCCCGATGGTCAGAGCTACAGTTGGGAGGATGTGGGAGCGCTGGTGGAGAAGTTACAGAAAGAATGGGATATGCTGTGTATTACAGATGTGGTGTATAATCACACTGGTAAGTGATTGTGTGCATCTGTTAATGTGTGTGTGCGCTCTCTGTTGGAGTACAGCCCAACCAGAGTGGAGATCAAACTGAAACACAACACACTTAGAAAAACATTTAGTGGATGTTAAAGTGCTTCTGCTTAATTATTAAAAGGCTTATGGATTTTCATCAGGGCCCATCTATAAACCATGGCTTTAATACAGACACAGTCTATAAGCATACTGCTGAGACTATAAGCATACTGTCCATGATCTCATTTGCAATATATTTAAGTTTCCACATATCTTTTAGATGAGCACCTTTATATTGAATATATCCTGGTGCTTGTAGATGACAATAGGTTACAGTTAAAGGACTAAACCGGCCTGTTGAGGTGATGATAATGCAGGGTCAGTAGTCCATGGGCCTTTCCATTTACACAGACAGTGTGTTTACATTAGTTAACTGGCTGGGACAAGATCAGATTAAGTGCAACTTTTTGATCCCTAAACTTGAGTCCTATTTCAATATTTATTACCTTGCTAGATGTCAAAATCAATATCATGATATCACGCTGAGTTTATAGTTATGTTCTTCTGTGGTGTCAGTTTGACCCTTTGAACTTTTGATGCAGTGTGTCAAAAATTGTATCCCTACTCTCTAGAGCCATTGTATCAAAGTCCATCGCAGTATTAAACAAAACAAAGACATTCTAACCCGTTTATTGATTATATTATAACATTTTTTCATTCTTCTACGTATTACTTGCTGTGTGGAGGTCTTGAGAAAAACATACAAAGCAATCACATATCCAATTTTCTTCCTTCAGAAGAGAGTGATCAAAATCATAAACAGAGCTGAATGCAAATTATACCAAAGCAATGACAGATGTGCTATTGTTTGGCAGAGATGTTCTGATAACCAGCATTCAAATAAACACAAGAGGTTTGTGCTCTAGAGAAAGGATCAGCACTCAGTGAATAGCCTCCTAAACCCTATGATAAGCTATTATGGCAAGGCTTAACTATACAGACCAGTGAGCAGTGATAACTAACATGTCTTTGGGGTCATCAGGTGGGAACCTCCTTTCACCAGTGTTTCATCTAGTTGGTCCCACGACACCTCCAGGAGGCTAGACAGTGATCTCTGGCGTCCCAGAGACACTCCCCTAATGCCAGGTCTCACTGCTCCCCGCACCAACCCAACAACCTCCTTTACCTTACTTACACATGGCTTTCTCAGCCCAAACAGCACTGCCACCTTCAACAAACCCAGGCTCCGTACATGCGAGCTCCAGGTAGAGACAGTGCTGATACTACCTTTTCTAGCATATTCACCATACTCTATTTTACACGCTACATAGCATAACTCCAATATAAGCTAAAGTTAAAGGAGATAGATAAACTCACAGGATCAGCAAACACACTCACCTTGCAGCATGGTCTCAAACAAAAGGGATTCAAATAGGCCACTCCCACACAAATAACCTTCCTCTTCCTGGATTTTCTCCTGAGAGGACTGATTGGTGGATCTCGCCACCTGATCTCAAGGAGTTATGTACCCTGCTCAGTAGTTCCCCCTGCTGCCCCCCAACTGACATTATTTTTTCTCATCCAGATCCACTGACTAGCTCTGGCTGCTTCATCTGACATTTCCTTCACTGTCTTCCTCAAACTCTGTCCCCGCACTCCGAGTTCCCCCAGGAGCGAGACAGCTGATCTTGCTATGAATCCCCTACATCCCACGTCCACTGGATAAATCCCAGTTTTCCATCCTCGCTGCGGAGCAGAAGCTGAGCAGCGAGGATTTTTTCTTTCATAGGCTTCTTCCAATGAGTCTTCCCAAGGAACTGTCAGCTCAATGAAATAAACTATCCGTTGACTCACTGACCACAACACTATGTCAGGCCTCTGCTTGGTACAAACTATTTCCTGGGGAACAACAAGCTTTCCCCCTAAATCTACTTGAATTTCCCAATCACAAGCACCTTTTAGGCAGCCACACCCTTGCCTCCTTACTAACTTATCCCTTCTGTATTTGTCCCTTTCATGGACAAACTGAATTGCTAAACTCCTTTTCTTAAAACTTTCTGAATTTACCTGTCTTTGTTTCCCTTCAATGCCTGCAGCTAAACATTTCAAACGCCTGGTTATGTCGCCATGTATATCAGCCTTGTGATAAGCTAACTTTGCAGCCTGACAAAATATGCTTTAAGGTTGCGGTACCTGAACACAATGGGCATGATGGGTCCCCATTTACCCACAGTTTTAGGTTCTGGGGGGTTGGTAACACATCGTATGTAGCCCCTACCAGGAATCTAATACGATTCTCCTCCATACTCCACAGGTCCCTCCAACTAAGCTTCCTCTTCTCTACACTTTTCCAATTCATCCACTGTCCCTGTTTAGCCTGGGCCACTACCTTTGTACCCCTTAATATCTCCTCCTGTCTACGTATCTGTTCCACTACCAGCTTTCTTTTATCTTTGTTACCTGTTTTATTCCATACCGGTTTGCCTGAGCCAAGCCCCAGGCCTCCTCGGCCAAACTGAACATTACCTACAATCTCTGCATGCCTACGGTCTATAAAATCCAGAGAATAGTAGGGGTGGGAATCACCAGAGGAGCCACAATACAATATTATCATGATACTTAAGTCACGATACAATATTACTGCAATTTTAAATATGTTGCGATATGCTGAGTATTGCAATAAAATATATTGTGATTTATTACCTTTTTTCAACTGTAAAATATGTCCCTAAAGGAAAACTTTGTCAACATCTGTTTTATCTAATAAGATGAAGTTTCCAGTGTGTTCATCTCACCTCAGTCATTTTTTACAGCAGTAAAATGTATGTCGTAGACTGAAAAAGAAACAAATAATTTTTTTCTAGTGGTTACCTAAAGTTTAATTTGTATTTGTAATGATAATTTACAAAATAAGAAAATTGACACTTGGCACTGTGTGATGATACGATATTGCCACACAAAAATATCGTGATACTATGCTGTATCAATTATTTCCCCCCAGATTTATAAAACCACTGATGGGAAGGTTATAGTGGAAGATGAACTGCTGAACTTTCTTGTTGCCAAAATGAGGACTTTAAGCTATGATGAGATTGTTTTGCTTGTGACAAACAATTTTTCTTCAGAGTGGATTGAAGAGACCAAGCGGCTTTTGTTTGAAGTGTGCCCAAAAAAAACTCAGCGCTGTGTCACGCATAAAGGTCCTCAGAAGGACGTTAATGATGTAAAGGCATGTTTGAAACTGTTAAATGAATGCGGCGAAAACATCCCCAGGTTTGTTTTGCACTTCCTGGATGAGCTACCACTTGTGGGCTTTGGCTGCATGGATGCCTCGGCGCTGCTCAGCAGGGTCGAGCGGCTGGGACAAGAGGTTGCTGACCTCAGGAGAACATTGGAAGCGCAGGCAAGTGTGAGTGAGAACCTGGGAGCAGCTACAGCGGCCATGGGTCGCTGGGTGAAGGCAACGGAGAGGAGCCGTGCACCGGGACTGGAACATGGGCATAATAATGCCTTGGCGCAACCTGAAGCACAGCTGGAAGGCCCGAGCATCAGGATGTCATTGCAGAGACAATGAATACGCCACTCCGGCAGACACCATCGAGATCCCCGTCGTGGAATGTCGTTGTGAGGGAGGGAAGGAGGCAAAAGCCCCAAAAAGCAGAGGCTCAGCCAAAACAACACGCAATGCAAATGCAAAGGAAACATGTGCTGAAGGTGATGTGTCGTAGGAATTATTGGAACTGGCACTGTGAGCAACATTCAGGTGATTACAACCAAGCTGGTGAGTGTTTTCGCAGCCAGATTCTCCTCTTGGAGAACTGTAACATATTGTGTGTACAAGAAACATTTTTGGCAAAACAGCACTTGGAAGGACTGAACTCATTGAGCAAAGACTTTAATGGGGCTGGTGAATCCACCACTGATCTTAGCACAAGAATAGTCCGGGGTAGGATTCCAGGCGAAGTGGCTATCCTGTGGAATAAAAAATCTGATCAGCTGGCCAGCACTCTTAGATTGGATGTCGACTGGGCCATTGGACTTGATTTTAATGGCAGAAAGCTTTTAATCTTGAATGTTTACACACCTTATGAGTGTTATGAAAATGAAGATGACTATCTTAATAGACTGGCAAATATAATGTCCTTTATTCAGGATAGTCCCTACACCTGCATATATGTGATTGGCGACATGAATGCTGATGTATCAGATACCAGCTCTTTATTTGCTAAGCATTTACTGCAGGTCTGTTCGGATAGTGGACTGATTCTCTCCAGCAAGGTACTTATGCCTGAAGACAGCTTTACTTATGTTAGTGACGCTTGGCACACAACTTCCTAGCTGGATCATTGTCTATGGACAGCTGATGCACATGATTCACTCGATGCCATGAAAATACCTATGATTTGGCCACTACTGACCATATGCCATTCTTAATGTGGATAAATATGGGTCATGTGCCATCCTTGCTGACAGTGGATAACAACATTAATGTAGGGAAATTAGACTGGTCAAACTTGACTAAAGCGGATCTCAATAAATATTGTGGTCGGTCTGATATCTTATTGGGGAAAAATTGTACTGGTAGACAAAAGCATGAAGAAATATTTGAATACTAGAAAAGCACTCGGAGAGCGCAGACCTCCGCCAAGCAGCTCGGATTTCCCGCCATTTTATTATTTTATCCACTTCGCTTCAACCGATCACCACCAAAATTTTATCATCTGTTCCTTGTCCCATTATCAACCTTTCCTGAAAATTTCATCAAAATCTGTTTAGAATGTTTTGAGTTATTTTGCAGACAAACAAACAGACCAACGCTGGCGAAAACATAACCTCCTTGGCGGAGTTAATTAGAAATATACAAATGCTAATTTTAAATATGCAGTCCGTTTCACTTAAAGGCATGAGAATATGATGAGATCTGACTCCTTGGCAAGAAAAATGCAAAGCAAGAATTCGAACGACTTCAGAAGAAATCAGAGTAATAAATAATTGTAAACTACCTCTCCCACTTAATGATGATGGTGTGAGTGGCACTGATAAAATATCTCAATTATGGCAGAAGCAGTATTGTGAGTTATTTAATTGTGTGAAGGGTAATGTGTTTGAAATGGGCAAAGTAGATAATAATGCAAATGTTACTGTTACTCCTCAAGAAGTGCAGGAAGCAGTTACAGAGTAACTCAGGTGCCAAAGTGGCAATAAAGCCTGTGGCTTAGACAAAATCAGCACTGAGCATCTAAAATTTGCTAGTGTAAAACTGTCTATCCTGCTTGCTATATGTTTCACGGGGTTTCGAGTACATGGTATACTACCTGAATCTATGTTATCGATTCTATTAGTCAAAAAGATGAGAGGAACAGCACTCTAAGTTTATCAAATTTTATTTTGCCACACATACATTTCGGGTCTGGCCCTTCTTCAGTGTGCTCTGGAAATTAATACAGATACAATACAAAACACAATACCTTGTGTTGTTTGTCTTACTCTTATGGTGCTATGGACCTCTGAGATGTATAAATAAATAATAAAGTATGAACTGAATTGAATTGAACTCTGCATATGATTGTGGCAAAATTTATTCAACTTTCAGTGTACAGTATCTCTCTTCCTCGCTCTCTCTCACTCACACACATATTGTGAAGTATGTGGTGTGTGTGAGCAGCATGCCAAACCAGGAACTAACCTCACATTACTTAAGAGGCCACTGACATCAAGCTTTAAAGCAGTTACTGGTTCTCAAGGGAAACAATGAGAAAAGGGAGGTAACCAAACTAAATGAAATGCTTCACAGATTGGACATGACAGAGATTAAATGCTTCCTTCCATCCAGGTTAGGATACCTACAACAGTAGCAACAACAGTTTCCATTTTTCAATCAGGAGTGCAATGATCAGAACCACAGCACCAAGAAATTTGATTAGCCTACATCATGGACTGTAAAAATAAAGGACATGGCTACCATGATGTCATCTGTTGGTTTCTGGACTCCTGTTTCGAAGCCTCGAACTTTGCACTTTGGCCATTGCCACCTCAGTTTCTTGGAGCCAGCGGTGACCATATTTGGCTGAGAGGCTTGTGCTGTGGAGGAACGAGGGCTGAATCTGACTGAGAAATCAAGGACACTATTGGCTGACAGCCTGGCACTAAAAGCAGCCCACCCAAAATTATGCGTAACTTTAAGCCTTGATAAAATGTAAACAGGTGTGTAATATAAAAATGTACCCCCTGTACAGTTGTCATGAAATGGGGAAATTAGGTATAGAGACCAAAACTGTTTTTTTGTACCAGGCTGTAAACATGTTATTTTGGCTGTAAGGTGGGCATTTTAACGTGGTGGACTACGGGGATTGACTGGCTCTTGGAGCCGTTTTAGTGCAGGATGCTGCTGCCTAGCCTGGTAAGACCATCCTGATGATGTGAGCTCAACATTGTGTTTCGCTGTCTGTATCAGTCTAGAATCGGTGCCACCCCAGCTTTTAACCAGAAATTAAAATCCAATCTGGGTCAATCAGCTATCTGCACCGTAGTTGACAACATAAGCAGCCAGTCAGGGACTGCAGTGTTGATGATGTAAAATGCCGGCCACGTTATTGCAGAAATAGAGTCAATAACAACAATAAAACAAAAACAAGAGTATGCAATCACAGAGTTTCATGGAGGAAAATAAGTTTTCGCCGTTTTGTCAAATGTTGAGCTCACCATCATCAGGATGGTCTTACCAGGCTAGTTGCTGCTTGAATTACATTCAGAACTCCCTTAAACCAATAAGGATTATTGTATTAACAATAATGGAAGAGAAAAAATGTTAGGATTGATATCTGTATTGTACATTGAATTTACCTACCCATCTAGAGTATGTGTAGAGTATTTGATGACATGACTAGGACTAGGAAGACTAGGAACACGTTCATGTGTAGCATGTATAATAACCTATTTTAGACAAGTTCAAAGAAAATCATTCCTGAAAATAAACATTCACACAGTTGTGATATCATGTTACAAGAGCTCAGAAAAAAACATGCATGTGCATGTTTATTATGAATCAAAACAAAACACAATAACATGAAGGTAACTGGAAGGACACTGCAGCTCTAACATCTAACATGAGTGATGAGAATGTGTGCTCTCCTATGTCAGCACTGTGTACTTCTTTTTACCCATGTACTCTTATCACCTCATCCTCTCTCCCTCTCTGTGAAAAGGTCAAGTAGTAAAATGAGACTGACTAAAAGGTTAAAGACCGAGTGGATGATTTACGATTTGTCAGTCTATCTGTAGATCTCTGCAAACTCATATGGCAGCCTTTTCTAAACCTTCGGCTCATGATCTGCTCCTGTAAATATATATTTTTGTTTTGTTAGGTGTTTGAATTAATAATGATTAATGTTTTCCGCAATTTTTTCTCATTATTGGTGTTTCAATCTAGTCAATCTCATGAAAAATGTTCAAATGCTCCCAGCATGATTCTTTCATGGCTCATTCTCATTGTTGTCACCAACAGTTTTCAAGTATGTATTTGAGCATTGTTCATACCTGAGTCAGTTTAAAGATTCTGACTCTGTGTTTCTCCTTTTTCTTTGCAGCTGCTAACAGTGTGTGGATCAAAGAACATCCAGAATGTGGCTACAACCTGGTGAACTCTCCCCACCTGCGACCAGCCTGGGTCTTAGATAGAGCTCTCTGGCATTTAACCACCAGAGTAGCAGAGGGACGCTACAAAGCTAAAGGACTTCCTGCTGATATTACCAATGAGAGCCATCTGAATGTGAGTAAACACAGTTCAGCCAGGCACACACTGCACGGCTGTACACTGTACACTTTATGATTAGAACATCTTATAAAAAGGTTTGTGATTTATTTCAACAGCATTTTGTAGGCTATGAAATCTCATTTAATAATAGTGATTATTTGTGTGTTTGCTTCTGTCTCTCTCTCTCTCTCTGTATGTTGATGTGTGTGTATCAGGCCATCCGAAGTGTGTTGTGGCAGGATATTTTTCCTCAGATCAAACTGTGGGAATTCTACCAGGTCAAAGTGGATGTTGCTGTGGAGCAGTTCAGAACCCTTCTACAAAATGGTCTGTATTGTAGATCAGTGAAGATTTAAAGTATTACTGCAAACAATGTAAACTTTGTTTACATGTGCTGCAGCAGAACAGTAGCAAGCTCAGGATATACACCGGATGTGTTTAGGCAAAGGGCTGTTGTGTAGCTCACCTGTGTTTGGCATCTCTCAGAGCAGAAATGATGTGCAAAACAAAAAATAGACATGAAGAAGCATAAAATCCTCCTCTGTAAACACCTGTATTGGAAGCATATCTGTTTTGTCAGAAACACACGAGAGGAGCAATTGAAACATGGCTGAAACTGTTCTTGAGGTCCAGTGTGTAGGATTTAGGGGGAGATATCGGCAGAAATGGAATCTTACTATATAATGACGAAAACTCTGTCTGTGGGGGTGTGTGTGGGTGTGTCTGTTCCATGTTTTTCTTCTCACTGACATGGTCAATCCATGTGAAATTTGGCACAGTGGTAGAGGGTAATGGGAGGATGCAAATGAAGCAATATTACATCAATTGGCCAAAGGGGGGCGCTATAGCAAGTGATTGAAATTGCAAACTTTGAATGGGCATATTTCATGCCCTGTATGTCGTAGAGACATGAAACTTTGCACAGAGATGCCTCTCCTCATGAGGAACAAATTTGCCTCAAGAACCCATAACTTCCAGTTATATAGATTTTCCGCCATTTTGGATTTTTTGAAAATCACTTAAAGGGCCAGTGTGTAATATTTGTCATGGTTTATTGTCAATCTGAATCTGAATCTGAATATTCTACCCATTAATATGTTTATACAAGTGTATAATCGCTATAAAATAAAATTCGTTTGGTTTTCATAGCCTTATAATTATGCTTTTATATATATATATATATATATAGCAAGGGCCTTGCTTTAGAGAGGTTGCCATCTTGCGCCGCCATGTATGTACGGCAGGCCGAGCGGACAATCCAGCCAGCCAGAGAACGCGTTTCGCATGTATAAATAAACCAACGAAGACAGCGGAAGGAAGGAAGGAGGAGGAAACAGCAGAGAGTGTTAGTAGTTCGTCGATAGAGAGTAGTGAAAAGTTTTTTTAGTTATAAAGTTTGCGAATGGACCACACTTACCACGCAACAGGAGAGAATGAACCCGAACCGTCATCTGCGAGGAAAAGAAGACGCAACTTCACTCCTTGTGATGCACTCTCTGCGG